CCAGATCGGCTCCTCTCTCTAATTTGAATTCGTACGAGCTGCTCCGGGACTGGAGGAAACAGCGAGTCGTTGTCGACGCCTCATGCCGGAAGCGCTATTTCCTCGGGGGGAACTCCAGCGCGTCCGCTGTGCGCGATTATTACAGCAGCTGCCGCACTCTTCGCTTTCAGAGGCTGCGTTCAAACTTCCTAAATCGTACTACAGAACTACAAAGTAAAAATGTAAAGCGTGACAAATCGTGGGTGAACTGGTTTTATTTCTGTCAACCGCAGCAGAACAAGTTAAATGCTCTGTGGTAAACAGCTGAAAAAACTTTTTGAAAGCGCACTAAATATGAGCGGAGGCTGTTCAGTGCTCGTGACCACAGAAGCCCCCGGACCCGGAGCGCAGAACAGTCGGCGGTCAGACCTGCCCTCTAGTGTCCGAACCGGTGTGGCGCGGCAGGCCAGAGGCGGATCACATAAAGGGAGTATCGAATTAAACACAACTCCAAGAGCGTCACTTTCCTCCGAAGTTCTTTGTTGCGAACAACACATATGCATGTTTGTTTGTTTTGTTTTGTTTTTTTCAGAAAAAAGATACCTGTCTTCATTAAGAAAGAGCTCTGCAAATCTTTAATTCCGGAGTCTTTAACTCAGTTCCAGGAGAGCCGACAATTACAATTGATTGAACAATTAATCTGTCTAAATTGAACAGGATTTTACTGGCTTTTACAGCTGATTACAATGGACATTCACTTCATTACTGTTACTGTCACTTGGAAATCGCCTCTGCACCTCGGTATAAGGGGTACAATTCTTTAGCTAATTAATTAATTAGGCCAGGTGCATAACTGAGAACACGACTAGAATTGAATGACACCAGGCGCCCCTAGACCCGAGCCCAACGCCCCTGGACTGAGCCCCCAGACTCCTCTGAGCCCGACGCCCCTGGACTGAGTGAACAGAGCTCTGCAGGCCAGAGATCGTCTGGGAATTTTAGAAATGTGTTTGATCCTTCGAGCTGCGAAGTGGAGAGTTATACAGTAGCTGTATCGTCCCCAGGAAGGCGTGAAAGCAGGCGGGTTGTTACTGCTCTCGGGTCTGAACGGTCCCAGACTGGATTTTCAACTCCCGTGCCTCCTTACTCCGCTCGGACAGAGACCGCGCTGGTTCGCCTGGCCTATAAATCTGCTTTGACGTTATGGGCCCGAGTAGGAGGGTGACATCGCCCTCTACTGCTGTACTGCGGTGTAGCCGGGAGCGATAGCGGAACGAAAGGACGAGCTGCAGCGCCCACCCGGGACAGGAAGTCCGCGGACCGCACTTGGCAGCAAGCTCGAAGCTGATTGGCTGGGAGTTTCAAAATGGCGCCGAGGAGTGTTTTTCGGAACTGCTCCGTGTTTATCGTTTCATCCCGTTTTGCTTTCAAAGTCAGGAAAGACAGGAAAACAGGGTTGAATCGTTAACGATAAACTTTGCACACAGAGGTTATTAATGTTTATTAGTAGGGTACAGTAACGAGCCTCCCGCAGTTTCAGAGTCCCCGAGGACTTGACTGGCTCTTGAAAAGTGTAAACATGGGGGAAAAAAACAGCGCTTTTACATGAGAGAGAAGTAATATCCAACAAGTATCTAATCTACAGTATTTAATTAAATGGATAGAAAAGCGGAGCTGTTTCTGAGTTTTTAAGTGATTGTATTTTACCGTACTGTATGTAACCTCAGTTGTCACAGTCTGTAGACGACGACACAGAGTCTTTTCCTCAGACCAGACCCCGAGTCAGCGTGTTAATTGAATTCACTCCTCGTCAGCCGTGGGACCTGGGACCCCAGAGTCTCCTGCTCTTTCAGAGGGTTTTTTGATTTTCTCACACGGTCACCTGCTGTGTGATTCTGTAAAGAGCTGTGTGACCAGCCGTTGTGAAAGCAAAACGAATGAAGATTTATTGTTTAAATCTGTTGGGTGGCATAGTGGTACAGTGGTAAAGTTGCTGCCACTCAGCGCTGGGGCCTTGGTATGGAGTGTGGAGCAGCCATATCACCCTGCAGCTCCCAGCTGGCAGCCCCACTGGAGCCCAGCAGTGTGAGCCTGGCCAGTACCTGGAGGGGAGACTCCTGGGAGAGCTGAGGCTGCTGCTGGGAGAGGTGTTAGTGGGGCCAGCAGGGGGCGCTCACCCTGAGGTCTGTGTGGGTCCTAATGCCCCAGTACAGTGACGGGGACACTACACTGAACAAAAGGTGCCGTCCTTCAGATGAGACGTTAAACCGAGGTCCCGACTCTCTGTGGTCATTGAAAATCCCAGGGTGTCTCTTGAGAAGAGTAGGGGTGTTACCCCAGTGTCCTGGCCAAACTCCCCCCTGGCCTTTACCCTCATGGCTTCCTAATAACCCCCCTCTCTGAACTGGCTACATCACTCTGCTCTCCTCCCACTGAGAGCTGGTGTGTGAGAGAGGACTGGAGCATCATCCAGGTGGGGGTGCAGGGGATCCCCATGACTTGTGAAGAGCTCTGAGTGCAGAGTCCAGACAGACGCGATGGAAATGTGAGGATTATTATTATATTCTCACCCTGTTCTTGTGGGTTTCCTCCCAAAGTCCAAAGACATCCTGGTGGGTTAATTGGCTTCTGGGAAACCTGGCCTGTGTGTGTGTGTGCGCCTGTGCCCTGTGATGGACTGCTGTTGTGTCCCCCTTCCTTGCTTGCTGGGAGAGGCTCTGGCCCCTTCCTGAGGGCTTGAACTGGATGACGTGGTTGGAAAAGGGATGGTTGGGTAATCTCAGACACGAATTGCGATCCAGGGATTCTTCCTGGAAATGTCCCAGGTCAGCTCAGATTTGCTCTTCACCTATGGGGGAGCTGAACGCAGTCCTGTTGAACTCTTTCCTCCTGGGGCAAGAGGAGCCGATGTGACTGTTGTTGGGGTTGCCAGTCAGTGACAGGGTGGTGTTTGTCATGAGCCTACAGTGGCCAGAGGCCTGAAGACGACTGTGTGACAAGCCAGTCCATAGAGAGACTGTAATACCAAGACCAGCCACTAGAGGCCCCCAGAGCCTCTGGAAATAGTCTCCTGGATGTGTTAGTTGGTTACTAATTGTATGGTTGTATAAGGGTTAGACTAGGGAGTGGCCCAGTGGTTAGCATTGCTGCGTCACAGCACTGGCTCAGTTCCTGGAGTGCAGCCTGTGTGGAGCTTGTATGTTTGCAAAGTTAGTTTGGGTTTCCTCTCACAGTCCTGATATCTATACTGATGGAATAAAGAAACACCACATTTTCTGGAATGAGAATACTATGGTTACAGCTTATGTACTTTCTCAGAAAGTTGTCAACTTGTTTGAAGCCCTCTGAACAGCAGTACAGCTTGTGCAGTGAGGCATTGCAGCTCGCCAATCACACGAGAGCTCGTTAGGCGCACTTGGACCCAACGAGGTCCAGGTGGAACAATGCCTGATCATGTCACTTTTAAAAAGGCCTTAATTCAAAGCTTAGGTCACTGCAAGAAAAAGGCCACACTTAGTCAGTTTTCTGTGTGTTCCATAATGCCTCCAATGTCACCAGAAGCCAGGGAGAGGGCCAATGGCATGCTGCAGGCAGGCCTGTCATGTGCCAGCGTTGCCAGACACTGTGTCCCGACCGCAGAGAAGGTTTCAGCAGACCGGCAGGACAGATGACCCTCCAAGATCCGGTCGCCCACGAGTGACCACACCAGAGCAGGACCGACACATCAGACGGGTCCATCTGAGAGATCATTTCCGATCTGCCACCCGTACTGCTGCTGAACCTGCCAGTAGACACAATGCCCGCACCAGTGACAGGACAGCGAGGCTCCATGCTGCTGGCCTTAGAGCAAGGCGGCCTGTCAGAGCCCCTCTGCTCACACCCGGCTGGCTTGGGCCAGACAGGGGCTGTGGTGGACTCGTCAGCAGTGGCATCAGGTCCTTTTCCTGTTCCATGCGGTTTGGAGGGCCAGAGTGTGGAGGAGGAGGTGTTGCGTTTCTTTTTTCCATTAGTATGTGGTTTGATACAAGTGACAAAGTTCAGGTGTCTGTGAAGCAGCAGTCTCTTTATTCATATGTATATGGAAGTCCGGCTTGCGACCACCAGACTTACAAAAATAAGTAGCTGAAGATGGTCCTTCATACCATAAAACAAACAGAGTTACTATGACACATTCTAAACAAATGATAAGACAGCAACACATTAATTATATCTCAGTTGCAGACTGGACAACAGTTAGTTCTTTTCATGTTCTGGGCGTACAGCCAGCTTACCGAATACATGCCCCTTATCTTACTGACCAAGGACAGGCGGCATCTTCATATATCTGAGCACAAAGCCAACTTCAAGACACTGGGCTGCATAGTTTGCAAAAAATCCAAAAACATGAAGTGATATTATCATCTCACTTCCCAGGTGGCTCTCTTATCTCTTCAAGTATGTATATTTTTTTCTATCCAAATAAACTTTATTTCACCAAAAACATCTCAAATTAAGTACACACTCTAGCAATTCATTACACTCTAATTAATTAAAAACCTTCTCAATCGGGTGATTGTCCTTTATCAGTGCTAATGCGTGCGGTAGGTTAATTGGCTCCTGGGTGGACTGGCCCTGGTGTTCGTGGCCTGTGTGTGTCTGTGCCCGTGACAGACTGGTGGTCTGTCCAGGCTGTACCCCACCAGTGCCCTTTGACCCTGGGCCGGGTGAAGCAGTTAGATAATGGAGGGGGAGATTTGTCAACTGCCCCCTCCTGACAGACTTGTGGGCACATGTGTGGGGGTGCAGTGCCCACCAACGGACACACTCTCTCTCCTCTCAGGTCAGGAGCCCAGGAGCGATCCCGGGAAAGAGGCGGCAAGCAAGTCTCAGGGTCAGCGTTCCCGCCCGCGAGCCAGGAGCTCGGACCTCTGGATCGCCGCCCCCTGCTGGACACTACAGGAAGTGTCCTGCTGCCTTGGGGCTGGACTCCCCCAGGGGTCGGGATCGGGATCGGGATCGGAACACACCGGGACGATTCTGGACGTCTGGCCTGCTCTGCCCAGTGCTGTGGGTCGAGTCCCGCTGAGCCACGGCTCTGGATGGTCCAGACACTGCGTGGAGCGCCACCCAGAGGCGGAAGGGAGGAACTGTGGAGACCAGAGGCTCCCGCCGGGACAGAGCGCAGGGTCTGGAACGAGCGCCACCGCTGCAGCCAGAGCCAGAGGGGCCCCAGTCACTGTCGCTGCCTGGACACGGGGAAGCAGACGGGGGCACTTGACTCACCTGGTCCACTGGGCTGTTAGTAGCTCATCGATCCCAGGATCCCATCCTGCTATTGAAAGGGGGCAGAGTATGGGGGGATATGAAACGACAGTGGAAATGACAGGCTAAGCTCACAGCAGACACAGTGGAGCAGCACGCTGAGAGCCACCTGGCTGTGATGAGACAGTTCCTCTTCTCAGTGCGATGCACAGACTTGTTTCATGAAGCACAGACTCCTCAGTTAATACCTCAGAGAGACAGGATCCTTCTCCTGGCTGGGAGGAGACAACGGCTTGGTCCAGAGTTCCTGCGGAGCTCAGAACCCCCTCAGGAAACCTCGTGCTCCATCCCTTGCAGGATGTGTCTGTACAGCGACCGTTCTCTGCTGTTCTTGCAACCATGAACCCACTAAATGTCAGCAGACATGTCACAGGAAGTAAGACGAAGTAACCCATTAAACCACTTTAATGTCACCGGAAGCAAGAGGGCAGAAGCCCAGGTAGTGGCCAGTGCTGAGGTGGGAGTTTCCTGCCGGGGGGCTATTTAACAGCCTCTGTTGAGCCCCTGCTAACAGACACATCCCTGCTGGGAAGAGGAGACTCAGACGGATCCCGGAGGAGCTGCAGGTAGGGAGCGTCCCGTCTCTGCGAGTGTCCGCGTGCTGCACAGAGCACACCACCAGCACCACAGCCGAGAGAGAGTCACTCCAGCAGGGCATGAGCACACTGTCCCAGTGGTCAGGCACAGAGTGAGAGCTGGTCCACCTGGAGCTTCATAAAGACACTGGACATCCTGCTGTATGTACTGGTGGGACAGTCTTGTGCAGATTTAGACTTTATTGAGCTCGATACTCACAGCCACACAGCCCTGGGTCGCTCCGACAGCACAGCCACACTGCTAAAGATCTAGACTCTTTCATACAGTCCAGAGTCAGGGAAGAGCTTCACAGCTCGGTTTGCTTCAGGCTCAGGTGCTTCATGTCCTGGTGTGTGAAATCGATCAGTCCTTCTCTGAACCTCGTGAAGAACAGACTAATTAGTGGTGTTTTTACAAAGTTAGTAGCCTAACAGAGCTTGAGACGGTTTGGTGATCGACACAGAGCTGTGTAGCTGAGGATTTCCAGTGATTATTCCACACCCACACTCCAGTGGAGTGCTGTACAGAGATCTTTGATCCTCACAGCCCTGACACGTTCCCTGAAGCGATCACCCAGTCTCCTTCCTGTTGCCCCAATGTAGATGGCTGGGCATTTTCTGCAAGAGATACAGTACATAAGGTTGCTGGAGGTACAAGATGCTGTCTGAGTGATGCGGAATTGTCCTGAGGGGCCTTGAATGAGTGTGGTGGTGGATGTGTACTTGCAGGTGATGCAGCGAGCTCTGTTGCAGGGGAAAGTCCTGGTGTGGATGAGTGCTGAGGGCGGTCAAGGGAGCTGTGAACAAGAAGGTCACGCAGATGAGGTGGTCAGCGATATGAGATGATGGGGCGATCAGGAATGAGGACCCCAGTGGAGGGATCATCCTGTAGGATTGGAAAGCTGTCGTTACTGGTCCTGGGGATAGACAGTGTGTTGGGTGGAAGGGAAGCACCACAGGAATGCGATTGTGATTCTGGGGGTTCCTGATCGACTTGATGGTCCGAGGGCTGTTTTTGGCTCAGACAAAGGCCCTGTCAATAACACTGCTGGGGTATCCTCTGTCGATGAAAAAAGAGACATTTTGAGGGCTTGGTTCTGGAAATCGGGGTCATCGCTGCAGAGTCGTTGTAGCCGAAGGAACTGCGAAAAAGGGAGAGTTTTTAGTGTGGTTGGGGTG